ACGCTATATTGCAATTTGATTTGGTAAAATGGGACAGCAGGGTCTCCCATAAAATATAAGATTCCCTCAAAGCGGATGAAACCCCCGAGGTGATGGCGCTGCACGATTTCCAACTCACCCCAAAGATGAGGGAGAAGCCATAATTATCAATATAACCAGCTGCTGCGCAATCCGTAAAGGCAGAGATTACGATTCAAACCAGCCCATTAGAATCAAGGTAGAGGTGACCAGAAGTGCTGCGTTGAAGAAAAAAAACATGAGAAACGGCCCAGAACCTGAAATGAGACCCCTTCTTGCCCATTGATTCCCGCACTGATGCGACTCTCATCGGTGCTGATCTTCACTTTTAACGGTCTCTCTACTAAACGGCTAGATACCAGCGGCGAGTGGCTAGCTAGTCGTTGGGCACACCGCGGCCCTGACGTCGGGGACGGCCATGCTAGATCGTCGGGGGCATACCCTTCGCTGCCACTTGTGTGTCGATCCGCAACTTAGGAGGTCCTCCTGACTTACAAGGTAACTTTCCTATCCTTCGACCTTCGACCTCATCGTGGAATACTCCATTACGGAGAAGACTACGGTAAAATTCAAGTCCTCCGATAAGGTCGCATCACATAACTATGCGGTGGTCAAAAGTTAAGCTTAGGCTAAGGACCTGGGCTTGATTCACGCGGATTCAATCAGAAGTGATCTAACCAAATAAGAAAACTTGATACCCATTCAAAGAATTCGGAGTAAACAAAAAGTACAAATGCGCAAAAATACATCGCAAATTAACATGATGACGGTTACTAAAACTTGTACTGACGGCAATTTCAAGACTACGCGAACATTCTTCATAATATACCTCGTTACCTTGAAATCTGTAAGAAAATGTACTTTTTCCCCAGCTTTTCCGTAATGCTAACATCCGGCTCTTCGGTGGTGCAATACCGGTGAAGGAAGAAATGATTATGTTTTGGTGTCAGGCATTTACATACATGAGATGCGCCGCGAACTCCTTATTTACTAGGATTTGTGAAGGTGTTCGAATGTTTTCACTGACAGTGATACCAGACGCACACGACCTTCAAGGTAACATTCCCAACTTCTTCCAAAAGCACCGTCAAACAGTCGACATAGAGAAATGAGAAACTGATCGATCCAAGCAAGACTTGATTTCCCAGATCGAGTAAATAGTAAGTGGTCCTTCTAGACACTATCGTCGCATACACAGTATGACATCATGGACAAATCCGCAAATTTGAGAGTCCAGCTTGAACAAGCTTAAGTGCTTGAATCCACAGTAACAATCTATTTTTAGCATCAGAAAGCATCGGAATCCTTGCATGTAGACAGAATTCATTTTTGCAGCAAGACTATATAGTGGGACAATTTGGTTATTCGCAGAGTTTGGAACTCGGAACAAGAGGGAATGGTAACGCAAAAGTAGATTGAACACAACCTTTGAGACGAAACGTAGAGACAAACATTCGAATCAAGCAAAAGGAATTCGTATCAATATTGAATGAACTTAACAAACCTGAAAAATCCTAGTTCTCGTGACAAAGTATAGAATTCTGAGTCGATTGCTGGAAACAGGGTTTCGGTATGGTTGAGCTCCTCCATAAGTCCAGTCTGCGGAGTTTGAACGGCAGCGACCTATACCTGCTATAACATAATAATTACAACATCTTCGAAATGCCTTGTGGAGCTAGTCAGGTTGGTGAGAAGATTGCGTGGAGAAATGCCAGTTACGCAAAGAGAGAAACAACTAAAGAAGAGGGATACTATGAAGAAATGAAAGAACTCCCCTGCGCATTCTAGCAATAGAGAATGAAAAGCCAATCAACACGGCTTGGGACGAAAAATAAATTTGTTGTAAAAGCAAAAAATAATCAAAAAGAAACACATAAGTTTCTAATGAGGCACACAGCGGAACACGTGCGCTAAATTACTTGTGGCAGCCGTGTTATGAGAAAAGACCGTTTTAGATTTCATTCGTACCAATTTCCAGCGTACAATATGGTCATATCGAGATAGTCGCTAACATCAAGGTGGCATAGAGGAAAAGTTGAAGGTTTGAAAGAAGAAAGGGAAGTGTGGGGGGTACAAGCGTAACTGGCGCACAGCGCGTGAAAGAAGAAGGATACAGGAAGAAGCAGTCAACAATGCCATCAAGTACTTTGATTTTCCTTCTTCACACAACCACCACGGATTGGACCGTTTTGTCCTCCTCATGTCCAAATACATTTCTCAATGAAATGAGTCATTAACACCACTCACTGTACGCGTGCAGCCACATATGGCTGTTCAGCTATCAATCGACCTACATACATTATTGAAATTCTGCAGATGTTTTGAATATCAAAGAACAATAATCCTTCATACAATTATTAAGCTATTTTGTTACTGTAAAGAGTTAGGTGGCCGGCAAAATCCGCACCCGGGACCACCAAAATAGCGAAAAAAGACGCCGGCGTGAAGTGTAAAGTTTTGAAGGCGATTTCCAAACCCAAGCAACAAAATACATAAAAAATATGTAAGGGCCCACAAATGCTGCTCATCCACAAAAGCTTAGCATATGCTATTCTACAAAATTCGGCTGGAGCGAATTCGTAATTCTGCATTTCTCCATCCGCCTCGTAACGCACCCACCTCATGTAAGATACCCCCTCCCGGCCCCACCGGCCATTCATTCACCTGACGTTCACGAAATCTGCTGACAAACTGCATTTAACTTCAGCAAGCATCTCCCAATTGCAGACACGCTCCGCCAATCATGCGCCATCCTCGGTTCATGTTGTTATGCTTAACAAACCTTATACTCACTCTTCCCATCAAGTTTTCCTGCTCTCTAAAAGCCTATGTTAAAGACAGATTAAATTGCATTAGTATTCTGCCAGATGCTGTAGCAATGCCCGATATTTTCTTGCAAAACCATCGTTCAACCCGAATGTGCGTACCTTTACACACCGTAAGCGGAATTCCAGTACCTTACATGGTATTTGCCTCCACGACGCGTCCCACACTGTCATTGGCGTCCTGCCTCGCCATATTTTTCTTCAGGTAACTATTAGTTACGTTCCATGAAGAAACAGATAGATAACAAGGGATGAGACACCTTGACTTATGCTATACGAAGTTATTACGCCTTTTCTATCGAGATCCTCCTGGATTTCTCTTTCATCAAGCTGGGATTCAGACAATGTTCTCTTTTTTCTCCTCTTTGACTCGAAAAACGATGGCCATAATTTCCGCATGGGCACACCTGAAGCAATCTTAATTAATTTAATCTTTAATTCAACAATTAATATAAAGAATTTAATTTATTGAATCATGCTCACCTTACAGGAACAAAGTCGCTGAGATGAGGGATATCGGTATTGAATAGCTGTAGAGCAAACTTCGTTTTCTCTTCTACACTCAATCGTTGAAGATCGAATGTGAGACAGGGAGCATAGAAGAACATCTATAAGAGGTCAATTAACTGACGACAGCCGCTGTGCGTATGGCTAGGCCAGAGTGCCGGAACCCGTCGCGTACGATTCGCGACGTATCGCAAAAATTGCAAGTGCCCCATTTTGAACATTTGAAACACTGAATATGAAACAAGTGGAATCATGAGCAGTCGTCATTCAACCATCACTATCAAGCAGAAATGGCGGTGGATTGGAGAACACCTCGCAGTATTGATCAGAGCACTTGTGATTTCTGTGATCCGTAGCGCGACTCGAGCGACTGATCGCGGACTATGGCACCAACCTATCTCAGAATCTTTTTTATAATCCTTCAATAATATCCACTGCCCCTTCAATAACTTCAATATTGACCATAAATAATTTTTTCGGTTCTAGCAAGTATTTACAGTTTTGGAAAAAGAACAACGCTAAATAAATCGCGCAAAACGAATCCACACCGCGTAAAGCGTGACCCACTATTGGGTCACGCTCTCGCCCAACTTGTTAATGGAGTATTTACTTCCTTTCCACGAAAGAAAATCCTACCTGCATATAGAAATCGATCACGAGACCGATGAATGCAAACATGCAGAATTCTTGAATCTCTGCAATTCGAGTAGCATAGCCAATCGCAAGAAAGGAAAGTTCCATGACAAAGTACTTGCATAAGGAGTAACCCTCTTGCGCCAAACCATGAGCAATTCGCGAGGATACATCCAACGTCGGTGGCGTGTACACAACAGCCCTAGCAAAGGAATGAAAATCAATAGAGTTGATGTAAATATGCGCCAGCTGTAGAAGCAAAGTAAAACCGAATATTGAATACCGTGTTATGCAGAGCGTATTCTCGAGCCCTAATATCAGAGCTATATACGGGAATATTTCGGCTCCCCAGAGGGTTGGACTCAATTCCAAATGAGCACAAACTCCTGAAAAATATACACGATGTGATTTCAAGAATTAGTGGATCATATACAAAAGGCTTCAGAGCAATAAAGTATTAAAAATGATAGTTTCGTTTGCCATCGCTTGACCCAACCAAACTTTTAACCCTTTGAAATAGCCGCATAGAGTTGCATTTTTGGGATCATTGTTATTGTTTTTCGATTGCGACGGCCATGCCGCGCCTCATTCATTTCGAGAACGAATCGATGCCATAAAGCAGAAGGTTGCCGACTCAACAGTGCACTAGTCACACATTTCGCTCCGAAACCTCTACTTGCTCACTCATTCGATTCGTGGCATGAAAAGGCCGAAGAAGACAGCGCGAATACGCTCAGGACAAAAACAGTGAGAAACAGCGGGAAGAAAACACACGGAACTGATCAGAATTAACCATCTACAATCGAAAAAAAATGACACAACACCGCTACTTACAGATGTTTGTGCAAGTTGTTTGTCTTACTAAGCTGGAGCGCACACGCTCGGGAAACGGAATGGAAGTGACAAAGGCAGTGGCCGGCCCCACCATCACCATTCTTCGTGAAGCAGTGACATGTATAAGTTTTGATTTTTTTTTTTTTATCTTGAGGGCGGATTTTACAATGGAAGACAAGTCCATTGGAATTAAGGCGCCGGCACTGCTGTGCCTTGTCGTGAGGGTGTTCGAAGTCTCAAATGTCCTTATCCTTCTTTGCTTTGAAGGTGATTTCTGTTTTGGGGTTTCTGGCGGTCCACTCTTCAGCTTTATCGACACGATGGTGGCCCTTGGTTCTCCAGCGGTTTCTTTCTGTCTTTATGGTTTTTATCCATAGTCTCTGCTCTTCGGTGCTTCATGAGAGTCGGGCTGTTCCTACTTTGTTCAGCTAATTCTTCCCTTTGCCCTGCTCAATATTATTTACTGGTCATCCCACGAGTGCTTATGTTCAGGGTGTACTGTTTGTTTTGTTGTTGTTCTAGTTATCCTGACACGGTTCGGTTTGTTTTTCTGGTTGTTGCCGATGGTGCGCCTCGAGTGCATATTAAATAAATAAATAAATAAATAAATAAAGTTAGGACAATGGTCAGTGATAGCGCGAAAAATGGCCTAGAACCCGAGAAAGGGACCCTCCCTTGCCCGCTGATTTGCGCATGCGCATCGATGCGACTCTCATCGTTGCTGCCCTCTTCAACACAAACGCTTTTTCTGCTGAACGACTACAGACTAAGACACGACGACGACGCGACCGCGGAAAAGGCCGTGCTAGATCGCTGGGAGCAATACAAATTGCGTCGGTCCGCACCATTAGAAGGACTACCCATCTCTCCCCTACGTAAGTTTCCCTTTCTTCGACCGTCGTCCATATCGTGGATTCTTTTTTAGGCCAGTTCCCGCACCTTTGCTGTAGATCAAATCAATGTATTCAGAAGCGGAAGAACATTTTCTAATGCTCTAGCACCTAAAGCCGCCAGTCACTTGAGTTCAACAAGACCATTAGCTCAACAAAGTGAGAATCAGTAATCAAATGCTGCGCGCAAAACTTAGGTTAAAAATAGTTTGGCGTTGAAGACGAAACGCTCACGATCAATTGAAAGGCACCTAGCTCATTACAGAAAAAAAAGATGCAATTGAGAGAGATAGTGAGAAACTTGCAAAGTAATTAGAAGAGAAGGATATGCAGGGAGTGAACAACTCCATCTAAAACGTAGCTTGACAGTTTAATTCAATCAATGTAATACGCAGTAAAATCTCCGTGGAATAGAGGTGCCGAAGACGAACCAGTAGTTGCTAATGCAACCTTTTACGATGGGATGGAATGCATACTTACCTGAAAAATCATAAAAAGAACTTAATGAAACGCTTAATAATAGCTTAATAAAACGCTCTTGAATAAGACTGTCGCCTAGCGAAAAAGGCGTATGATAGAGCAGAGATGCTTAGTAAGGTCAAATCATTCCCCTATCAGAGTCGGAGAGGACCGCTAAATACCAACTCAGTGAGCCAGGTACAGGCTAGCCGATATGATTCTCTGTTATGTTCTGCAATTTATGACGCCGAAACAAAAAGGACCAGCGGGCTTTGCTCTGCGGCAAAGGTTGCTTTCGCGCACATGAAAGTCACAGAATATTGTGTATTGTGAATACCGGTGGCAACGTTAGAATGAAATATGGACATACGAAAAAAGAAATCCAGAGCCAAAAACATGTCGAGAGAGTTCTAGTTGTACTCTCGAAGATTCTTACATTCAGCGATTTAAAGGGGCGCTTATTAGAAAAGTTAGACAGGTGCTGCAGTGTCAGTATAGAGGAAAATGGGAGGCAAATGAAATATGGGATAGAATTAGATAAAACGGCGGATTTCATGGAATAAGAAGGGAACGAAATCGCTCAAATTTTGAAGCGTATGACCGGTGGTCATAAGAAGAGTGGCACCGACAGCGAAAGCAGCAGCAAAAGCTAAACTCCAACGAGACGCAACCATTTCGAATTTTCTCGCAGAGGGAGGTAATGAGAAATGCAAAATATCGACTATAGTAGTTCACTGAGAGCTCAAATTCAGGGGAAAATCCAGCAGAAAAACAAAAATACCGTAAAAATTGCGTAAGAAGAGAGTAGGGGAAGATAGTCTGTAAAAGCCTTCCGATTCCGATAGAATACGTGACCGAATTTATTCTCCTCATCCGCATAGAGTGGCAGGGGCTCAAATTCCTCTCGAGAAGTTAGACTATCCAACAGTGAACTTCTCATTCCAGGATCATATTGAGCGAGAAACAAAGTGAGTGAAAAGTCGATACCTAAACATATGAGCTATTATTTTGATCAGAGATTCACATAAGTTCACCTCAATTCAATTACCTGACCTTCAGCAACATTTTTTAAGCGATTTTGAAAGAGCTAAGGAGAGTTTCTCATCCTGTGGGTCTAACATTTACGACCACCATTTTAATCTTTACCTTTTTCCACCATTTAATGGAATCACGGCCAATGTAGCCTTCATATAAGGAAAAATACCATCACACCTCGTTTTCAACGGAATTACAAAATCTCAGATACCAGTACTAACTCCGTTTTCTGTTGCTCCTGTAGGTGGGCTTGATTCCTGTGAATACGGTAGGTATACCCAGAAAGACATCTCGCAAGCACATCACAGGTGAACACTCCCGTAAGAAAATTGTGGTTAGAACATCAGCATCCTAAAACATAAGAAATAACAAGAAGTAGCTTTTCTCAAAATGAAGTCGACAGAAAACCCAACAACGACAATGTTCCCTAATTCGCTTGAACTATCGTGGAAAACACTGGAAGTACTGAGCTCATACATCGAAAGGAGCTGCATCCACTGATAAAAGGTACAGGAGGAAAACTGCATATTGCGCAGCGATTATTGGAAGATCTCGGATCATCCAGAAAACAGGAAAAAAAGGTGACGAAAAAAATGAGTTATAACCTTTCGATGGAGCACTGCGGTGAAAAGCAGCTGTTCGCAAATCAAAACAATACAGAAATTAGAGGCACCTGTGTTCCAAGCCGTTATAGGAAAAGAAAAGGCTTACTTTCACAAACATATCCAAGGAATTCTGCCAAAATGCTGTTGGATCAAGTAGCAGACAGCCCCGAGGGAACGAGGAACCTGATCGGACATCTTCTCGATTAACTTGGAGGCACATAGCATCGACTATTTCATGTTTGAGGATGACATCTCTTGCAAGAAAAGCTCGTGATAATGGTCCTCGAATAGCCTTGAAAAGAGTGAATTGGAAACGGAGCATTTAGGGCGAAAAGAGAAAGAAAAACCAAAAAAGACAAAGCTAAAGAAGGAATGAGTGCAACACAATAAGAAGGAGACCGAAGGCAATGTTCAAGGTGAACCCACCTGCTCAGGTGTCATATTGTGAGAAACCCATGGATCTACAGCTCCTCGAATAATAACCTGTTGCAAGAATGCAGCAGGTGAACCACGAAGCCATTCAGGAGATCGTTCTCCTGCAAGAACGAGCGTTGAGGAAATTAGATTCGGAACGAATGAGAACGTACCTGAACTGGTGTACACTTTATTATCCCATTGCACATTGATGGGACTGCTAGCGATTAGACGAAACCTCGTAAATGTTGGTAAGAAGCCCCAACATGGTAATAAGTGACATAGATAAACAAGCAACAGGATGCGCTGAACAAAGCCTGAACCACTGATAGATAGAGACTTCGTAAGAAAAATGTGAGCCGTTACAAACAAACGAACCTTCCATAATCGTGATAAGCTTGAGCAACGCGCTCACGTAGCGTGGTTGGACGATTTCTAGGGCGCTGCATATTGACCTCTTTTCATTCCTCGTTCAATGCAGATCTCGAATACTCTCTTTATGCCAGCCTTCTGAGATCCATTCAACTTGGTTTCGCTACACTAAATTCAACACACATATTTGCTTGTATATGGACGCATTTTGCACAGCCGGCAAGCACATGAACGGCGATTTGAAGTGTTACGATTTTAAGTGCACAATTGAGGCAGTACGCTATCCTTCTTGCAAGGTTAGTGACGAAAAACCCCTTGAAAATTATTCTTTTTCAGAAATATATTTTCTTACATTCGGCACATGCTTACCTTACAAACATTGCGACCCTTTCACAAAGCGGTTCTGCTTCGGAAGACAAAAACCTCGACGATTTCCGTCTCCCTGCCGCTGAGGAAGACAAGATCGGCCTAGCTCGTGAGTGGATCTGGTGCATTTCAAGTGGCGCCGCTTACCACGCACACGGTTCGGTGGTCAAATGGTGAGGTGTACACGCACCAGAAAAATCAAGCCTTCCACCCCTCGAGCTCGTTGACGCTGCTACAAACTCTCTGGGGAAACCTATAAGGGCAGTGAATTATACATGGGCATGGATGCCCACTGCCCCTCCCCCCAATTCATTGTTATAGGATTCAGTCGCATTTAAATTCTCATTGCGATTTTGAATGAAAGAGGAATGGGTGGCACATCCCAAGAAAGGACTGATCAAGCCAAACGCTTTATCTATCCTCAAACAGGGCACCTGATCTAAGGGCATGATTTGCGACTTACGTACATTTTGTACGATGATGTCAAAAGAAACCACGGTGTGCGCCAAGCATGCCACTGTGTAACAGATAGAATCGGAGAGAAACACTCGATTCCACGTCGTTAAGGATCTTGAGAAAGAAGCTTTTATAGGATGTGCAACAGTAGAAGTACAAGTAATGGAGTGTATCGCAAATGACGAACTCCAACATGGCGGAATGGACGCGTTCCGCCTTTAACCAGGCTCTCAGCGAAACTCCAACAATTCTTGAAGATCATGAGCCGACTGCCGCTTTCATGGCTATCAATTACTACATAAACTTGAGAAACTGTAGCTTTCTTCTATGGTCGCTGGCCAAGAGGTATGACGGAGTGCACAGACGATTAAAGAATGGTCCCTGACTTGGCTTCAACATCCTAAGCAGAAAGGTGAGAGCCCTAGGACTAAGCTTTGTTGGAAGAAGGGACTTTGAGACTTTGATGTGGGTTAGCTAACTACAGTACGGCAAATGTTTGAGTGAGTGTGGTCAGTTGATAAGGGCAAGAGAGCGCAGAGAGAGCATCGAATTGAGGCGGCTTAAAGGAATGAGTTCAAGTAGTCCGTCGACCGCTAACACAAGGAACGAAACATTGTCCGGAACAGAGCCCCTCCCCCCCCCCCACTAATCACCTTCCTCGAAAACTACTCTGATAACCTTTATTCAAATTATTTGGCGTCGTCCCAATTGAAATTTTACATTTAGAGCAACCCTAGTATATCGAAAGAAACCATATCGTGAGCCGTAATGACACAGCCCCCGTTTTTTTAACTAAAAGTTTCAATAACAAATGAGACATACGCTGCGACACATTACAAATAGCTTGCATGCATGCGACAACTAACGCTCACATAAAGACTATACCAAAACTTTTTATTCAGATTCCCATAAAAATTTATCAACAAATGGAAAGTGGGTAGAGAAAGTCAACAATGCAACAGTGTCCGACTTCTAGACGAGAACAAAAACAACAACACACTTATTCAAGGATCAACCAAGCCGTAAAGTTAAGGTACACTAATTCACCGATATTATAGCAATATCATAGAAACTTCATGTACCCTGAATTATAGATGCACTCGAGTTCGTAAAACACAGCTCAAGGCTCAGCTTTGCGTCAATCGCAGAACGCCGTGAAGCTAATAAACGAGCAAGGGCTACATCGCAATTGCGCAATGCATCTTTCTCACCCAATAGCGAGTCACAGCGCGCTTTGAAAGACAGAAGCAAGGATATTAGAGGAGAAGAATATTAACTCGACAGCAAACTAGATGTTTGTCATCCTCTCATGCACTTGAAGCTGGGTAGTGGTAAGGTTAGCCAGGTAAGAGATCATCATATAATCCTGAAACCAAAATTAAAATCAATCTCTGGACCAGATTAGGAAGAACCTGAAAATTCATACCCTGAGACTATTCTTAACAAGACTGTCCAATTTTTCTGTTTGCATATGCGTTGCTGCCGTGTTCACAATGTCCATCAATCGACGACCCATTGTTGCATCAGCAGGAAGTTCATCGCGAGATGTAACTTCGTTAACATACCTTCAACATATGGAGAATTAAAAACAATCCAAGAAATGGAACATCTTCAAAGTTCAACAAACTCTAGTAGGCGCTCAAGCCATTCAATTATCTGTGCTATACTTCTCTCGAGTTGTTCAAGCCCACTTTCCATTGTGACTTCACGACGTCTCGAATCCAACGCATTCTAAAAAGTGTTCGTTACTCATATTGACTGGCTTTGGAGCTTTTTTGCCTCCGGAAAATTTTGGAACCTATGATACTCACTTCGATCAATTGCATAGCAACACATTCCCCCGGAAAAGCATCGAGTTCCACACGAAGTGGATTAAATATTGCGCAATGGGGATCACGGGCACGAGGAATTCCAGCCAATGTCCTGCAACTCGAAATATTCACACAATGGATATATTATCAGAAAGAACTTAAC